AGGATTGCTTGAGCCCAGCAGTTTGAGGTTGCTGTGAGCTAGGATGACGCCACGGCACTCTAGCCCAGGCAACACAGTGAGACTCTGTCTCAAAAAAAAAGAAAAAAGAAATGGCAAAAGCTCACCTCCAAGGGTGCTGACAAGCTCCTGTCAGATGAATACCAGGGCCTGGTGAAGCATACAGGAGGCTGCCACTGCAAAGTAGTTCACTTTGAAGTTTGGGCCTCAGCAGACTTGCACATCATTGCAGCATTTGCTAGAAGAAAGCTACCAAAAAGTGAGTAAAGCTGTATAGGCTGATGGGACCCCAGGATGTGCAGAAATACAGAGGAAGAGTATAGATTCATGCAGGATCTACGTGCCATTAATGATATTGTACAAGTGACTATGAATGGTACTCAGTCACACTTGAATGGCAGGGTCCTGGGACTAGGGTGGCCTTGTGGTGCTGCTGGACTGTGTCGCCTCAGAGGTTTAAAAAGGCTCTTCTACCCTGTTTGGTGGGGGCTTAGCAGGGGACTTATGGAACTTGCAATTGGACAGATTTGCAAACAGCAGTTTACTTATCTGGGATTTCAAATTAGCAAGGGAACCTGCAATGACTGAGCCGGTTCCTAGGAATGGCAGGGTTCTGTCACATCTGGACCCCAAACTTTGGACTAATAGCAAAGCCCTCGTATGAGGCTTTTAAAGGAACAGAAGTGGAGTCCCTAATCTGGACCACAGACTGTCAAAAGGCCTTTAAAAAACAAACTAAAGCAGAGCCTTATGAATGCCCCCGCTTTGGGGTTGCCTGACTCGCAGAAAGAATTTAAATTATATGTTTATTAAAAACAAGGAATGAGCCTTAGAGTCTTAGTACAGATGCTGGGAGACATCCCATGGCCAGTGACATACTTGTCAAAGCCACTGGACAATATTGTGAGAGGATGGCCTCCTTGTCTCCGGACAGTAGTAGCTACTTGTGAGTTGTTATTAAAGACTGTGTCTACTTTCAGTCCTGCCCCCTGTTACCAGCCGAAGAGAATGAGCCTTTGCAGCATGACTGTTTAGAGGCTCTGGAGGCTGTCTATTGTAGCAGGATGGATCTGTCAGGTCAGCTGATGCCAGAGCAGATTGGGATCTTTTCACCAATGGGAGCAGTTTTATGGACAATGGACAATGAAGGACTGAGTATGCGGTGATCATGGAATGACGGGTGCTGGAAGCAATGGCACTGCCACCTGGGACTTTAGCCCAGGAAGCTGAGCTGATTGCTTTAACCAGAGCTCTTCAGTTATCCAGAGGGAAAAAGGTAAACATTTATATGGACTTTAAATATGCTTTCATGGTTGCACATACTCATGGTGCCGTTTGGAAGGAAAGGGGGCTTTTGATGGCAGGAAATAAGGATCCGAAGCCTTGGTTCAACCCCTTATGAGGCACCTACATGAATGCACACGCTATAGGCATGTTGTCTTAATGGATTTGGTGGGACCTCATTTAAGAGAATCCCGTTTGAATCAGAGCTGCCCTTTATGTGCTCAAAACAATCCAAAGAAAGAAAAGCAACCTGCTGCACAAGGAATCCAACATGTGGGGATCCACCCTTTTGATGACTGGCAAATTGATTGCCTAAAATGACTGGAAACTTCAAATACTTGCTTGAATTAGTAGATACCTTTTCAGGCTGAGTAGAGGCTTCTTGTACCCAGATGGAGAGAGCATCTGAAGTTACTAGAATCCTTCTGAAGAAACTCATTCTGAGGTATGGGCTCCCTTCCTCCATACAAAGTGATAATGGACCCTCTTTATATCAGAGATAATCCAGCAAGTAAGCAAAGCCCTACATCTAGAATGGAAATTGCATGCATCCTGGAATTGATGCAGGAAACCCACATAAAGTAGGATAAGGTGTTGTCGCTTACCCTCCTCTGATAAGGGTAGATCCCAGAGGCAGGCTCAAGTTAAGCCCCTAAGAAATAGTTTATGAGAGACCCTTCCTAACACCCTGAGGTAAGTATGATAATATAACCATGAATAAGGAAAGCAGAGTAAAGCATTATGTCAAACAAGTGGGTCAGATACTAACCATTATACATGAGTTTGCCTCTCTCAGGTTCCCACCCCAGTTGTAAGGACCCCTCCACCCTTTTGAACCCAGAGACTGGGTATCACTTAGAGCCTGGAGAGCACAAGGACCTGAACAACAACCGGCAGAGAAGTGGAAGGGACCCTATGAAGCGCCTCTAACAACTCACACCTCATTGAAATTGTCAGGAGTAAAACCTTGGATTCATCATACCAGAGTAAAGAGGTGTCCCATGGAAAAAGAGGACCCAATCTCCCAGTGGATGGGTCAGTCTTTAGACAATCTAAATTATCTGTTTAAGAAGAAGGAAAAATGAAAATGTTGATATTTTTGCTAACTTTTCTTTGGTTATTTGTTCTGTCTCCAGGATGGAAAGACAACTCCTTAGTGAGGATTTCCTGGGCTATCACCTCTTCTGCTGCTATGTCTCACTTCTGGGTTTGTTGTCCTAAACCTCATTTGGCACAAGCATTCCTGTATATAATTTCTGAATTTGCAGAAGCCAGTTTCTCGGATCACCTACAGGGTGCAACTAATAGCTCCATACTCAGAGGTACCATGTTTCTTTCTTGCCCAGCCCTGTATCAGACATTATATACAAGGCAACAGTAAGGACCCACAGTCCTACTGGTGTCTTAGATACCAAGCAGGGTAAAAGCTCTCTTATCAGGTATCCTGCATTTTGCCTTGTCAATCCTCACAGTTGTAGTTGTTGCTTATGCCCTTTTTCACATGGTAATCTGTTGCATTCTTTATTTTTTTTGGTAAATATACTGCCAAGGCTTTGCAATTGCATAAATAAGTACAAACCATGTATCTAAAACATCGCCTCAATTCAGCAGGAACTAGCTTGATCACTACACGTTGCCCCTCCTCCCATAGATATGGAAGGGTAATGTTGACAGTAGGGAATATGTAACAGAAGTAAGGGCTTGAAAAAGGGCAAAATGTATTACAAGTTGTCTCTTTAGCCCCTCCCCCCACTCTTTTTGGGAATTAAAACCTACGTTCCTGTCACAGGCCAGAGATCAGAGGGGCGGGGGAGTATCTTTTGTTCTTTGTACCACAGGAGATGGCTCAACAGAATTGTCCAGGCAGAAGTCACAAGATTGTCTTCACCAGAGATGCTGTAGTTAAACAGCAATAGCCCAAAGCTGAAAACTCCTTTTAAAAGCTCTGTATTTCTGCTTATAGATATGATGATGGTACTTTAAGATGTGAGTCTACCATCCTCCTCATTTCCTCAAACAACAAGTGGTTTGAGGAAAAGGAAAGAGAAGTTTATCAATTTGCCAGCACATGAGGAGGGCAGTGGACTAGTGTCCCAAAGATTGCCATCCTGACTTTAAGCAGAAAAACAGGGCTTTGTAAAATGGAGGTTTTCCGCAGTTGGGCTCAGGTCTACACAACCAGTGTCACGTGTCGTGGTTTCAGGCTATTGTTGTTTAACTATAATTGGTGGTTTCTGTCGACCTTATCTCCGGTGACAATGATCTCATGATCCTTTCCAGACAATTCTGTTGAGCCACTTCCTGTGGTTTAAGATACTAGAAAACAAACAGCACAGAACATTTTTTTCCCCTTCGATTACTGGCCTCAGGCAGGAATGCAGGTTTTAATTCCCAAAAGGGTAGGGGTTTTAAAGTGACAACTGCTAAAACATTTCCTTGCTCTTTTTCTGACCTTTACCTCTGTTACAAGACCATTTGATGTTTGACAGATGGCTGTATGGAAACATTTGAAACTTTGAGAGGATACAACGTACCAGGGAGACTACTATTATGACTACCAGGGGGATAATACCAAGAGTTTGGAGTATGCTCCTTAGCCAAGGTCCCCATGAACCAAACCAACTAAAATTGAATGTCCAGATGAGGAGTCTACCCATTTTAACCAAGTAGTCTACTCCACAATACCCAATGTATTTATCTATGTGCAATAAGAAGTGTTATCAACTGCACAGATTCCTCCCTATTTAGTAAATAGATAATCCAGCAGCCCATGACTGGGTTAAATAAAAGCAGGGAATACAAGTTGCCTGAAGAAACTACTGATTGTGAAATTTTAACAACAGCATTATGCTGCCAAGTGAAAAGTAGGCATAAGTCAGGAAAAATTAAGAGGTAAGAGTCTTACTATTACAGGGAGTCTTGTTCTGACAGTCTTGGGAAAAGCTGTCCACAGCATGAAATCGGCAACTTCTCATCCTGGTTTGTAGTTTCATTGTCTCTGGTTGTGTTACAGCCCAATCAGGTCCCTTGCACACTTCCTAGTGAAGGCCAATGCACTGAGACAGCAGGTGTTGCAGCAGAGAAAGAGTTTTATGTCACAAGGCGCCAGGTGAGATTAGGAGTGATTTCTCAAATCCATCACCCAGAGAACTGGGGAGAAAGGATTTTTAAAGATAGTTTAGCAGACTAGGCAATTGGGTCTATTTACTGGTGGGGGTGAACTCATAGAGATTATCTTTTCAGTTGGGGGGTCTTGAGGCTATTGGATCTGTTTCCATGCCTATCCATGGGTCCGGTTGATGTCAATGGGTACCCCCCGAATGCAGAGTCTGAAAAATACTTCAAAGACCAGTCTTAGGCTTTACAATGGCAATGTTATCTATAGAAGTAGTGGGGAAGTCACAAATCTTGCACCTATCAGGGAGGATAGAGCCATTAAGCAGTGACCAGTTACAGCAGTAAGGAAGTTAGGGAACAATGGCTGGTTATCATCTGGCTATATCTATACTTTCATAAAAATCAGATTTTGATTGGTATTTATACTTTATGACGCTACATTATTTTAATATAGATGGTTTCAGTTGTGGCATCGGGAATTCTGGTGAACTCTCTATGTGGCCCAGGCATCAGGTATGAGACTTGTCCCTTGAAATTTACATCAAGTTGTCCAGCTTAGGCTTATAGGGCTTCAGGAACTGAGCAGCTCTTGTTCTTCATTGGAGAGTTGTAGCTAGATATTAGAGAAAGCTGGAGGACTTCAGAATCCAGTCTAGTCTATAGGTAGATAATAAAAAACTCAAAACCAATAAACAAGACTGTAATCTAATAACAGGTGTACTATATAGCTTTCTTTTGAAATGTAATTTTTCCCTCTACAGTCACGCCCATTTCTACCAAAGATAATCATGGTTAGGGCAATTTGCTTGATTTTTTTCTATAAGTGCAGCAAGAATAACCACATAGGCTCTTTTTAAATTTGCTTTGCTGGAAATTTTGACATGAAACCTCAGATTGGACTTTTAAAAACCTCTCGATGCTAGGAAGCCAAACCAAGGCAGACATTAGACTTTTCCCACTGTTTCTAATATCTTGAGGTTCCTGGGCCTGCCAGGAAGTGAGAACATTTACTCACTCACTGTAAGACTGTGAACCCTTGGAGCCAGGCATTCTATGTACATTTTCAAATATGGTATTCCAGTCAAAGCCTTGGTAATATAACCAATATTTCCAATTGTATCCTGTTAAAGAGATCAGATTCTTTTTGAACTTATGCAAATAACCATATTTCCATAAAAAGAAGACTATTGATGAATAGTTTGAGAATTCTGGAGGGATCAGGTAGAGAGGAAAAGTAAATGTTTCAATTTTTGTTTACAAAAGTTCACTTTACCAAATTGCCATAAACTATAGATAGCTTAAAAGAAAGAAAAAGTTCCCTTAAATCTGGAAAGATAAACATTAAAAGGACAAGCAATGTTTCAAATAAAGTGTAAAAACCCATAATTCTTCTTTTTTTTATTTCAGCATATTATGGGGGTACAGATGTTTAGGTTATGTATGATACCCTTGCCCCCCCTGCCCCCCAAAGTCCGAGCTTCAAGCGCGCCATCCCCTGGGTGGTGCGCATTGCACTCATTGTGTGTGCATATACCCATCCCCTCCTCCCCCCTTGCCCCCACTGCCCGACAGCCAATAAATGTTATTCTTTTTTTTTTCTTTTTCTTTTATTTCAGCATATTATGGGGGTACAGATGTTTAGGTTACGTATGTTGCCCTTGG